TGCAGCACGGCGGAGGTCAACGCGTAACACGCGTTTCCCTCCTCCGCGCTGCACGCTGGGAAATGTAGTCCCCGCCTCAACTTCGCCGCCATCTTTCCGCCTCTCTCCCTTACCCGCCTTGGGCCTGAGGGGAAACGCGTAAAACTGGGGAAGACGAGGGAAAAAAGCGGCATAAACTCAGCAGGTAACCGGGCCTCGGTGAGCCCAGGAAGCCTCCCCGCATCCTTTCTCCTCAAACGAGATCTTTGTGAGAACAATAAACACACAGCGTCCCCAGGGAAGCAGCTTTTGCGAGGCGTGGAAAGCAGCAGCCAGCGCGCAGCCCTGCGATGGGGCTCGCGGGGGCGATGGCCCTTGGGAAATGGGAGATGAGACTTGAATGCACGAGGTGCAGAAAGCAGGCACAACTGGGCCGCTCCAAATAACCTCGCTGTGGGCACCCTCTGCCTTCAAGAGACTGTGGTATTTACCCAGGCACTGCTATTTGCCTCAAAAATGGACACACAGTCAGCTTTTCAGAAGACCCGCTGCCCTGCCTCGCCTTTTCCCTGCCCACAGAGCAAGATGGAGGCAGCGATGGTTGTGCTGTGGAATGGAGGGGTCTCCTTGCGTGGGTCGTCCCTCAGGCCTGTGCGGCTGTGGACCCTGCAGGTGTGGGGGGAGCAGTCCCAGCTCCGAAACCCACGGTCCCATTTTACAGGCGGAGAAACAGGGCGATACAGCGAAGCGCTCTGGACATGCACCGTGGCTCCAGCAGGTCGCGCGTGTCGTCTCCTCACGGAAGGGTTTGCAGATCTCTGCTGTCGAGCCGCGCCCCTGGCAGATGCGCTCTGCCGGATCCCCCCGTGGTGGTTTTGGAAGCCGCCGTCTCCAGCTGCAGGGCTGATCACGTCGGGTCCCACGCTCAGCCTGACGCAGAGATGTAAAGGCCTTGACAGGGGATCCCACACCTCCAGGACACGACCCGTGTCCTTCCGCCTGGCCCCCGCCACCTGCACCATTCTCCTGGTTCCTGGATTGGACAACATGGCATCTGCTCCCTCTCTGACCACTCACGATCTCACGGATCCCCATCACACCCCCACTGCTGCCGCTCCTCCAGCCTGGCGAGGCTCGGGCTGTGCCCTCACTCCAGCTCTCTGGTCGGCCCTGTCCCCTCCCTGAACATTTTCCTTTCAAGCAAGTTTTTACAGTTTGACACGAGCAGTTACCACCACTATTACCAGCTCCGTGCCCCCACCCCGAGTTCCTGGGTGCGGCGTGGCTGCATCCCCACACTGCCCACAACGCAGCACACCACACCGAGCCAAAGCGAGCCATGCAGCGCTGCCAAACGCCGGCACGGGCGATCACAGCATCTTCCCTGCCTCTCTCCTGCCCAGTTATGCAGGTCCTCAGTGCCCGCAGGGACAGCTGGGACATCGTCACTGGGAGATGCGGCCAGGATACCAGCATGCAGACACCCCCCAGGCAGGACAACACATCTTTAATGCTCCAAAGGCCTCAGCAGGAGGACATGCAGCAACGTGCAGAGGGGACCCAGACCGGGAAGAGCTGCAGGCAGTTTGCAAAGCGACGCCGTGTCATTCCCGCGCCTCTTGCCTGCTCAGCTAGCCAAGGGCACGGGCAGGGGGCCGGGACGCATCTGACCCCATCAGGCACACAGCTGGATGGAGGTTTCTTGTGACCAGAGCCAAAAGTACGGGAAGACCTTCTCGGTGAAGGAGGCCTTGAACTGCAAGATCTGCGTCATGGTCTCTGCGTTGTAGAAGGTCACCTGGCCCGCTTCGTAGTCCACGTGGACCCTGATTCTCCGAGGCCCTTCCTTCAGCGCCAGCGAGGCAGGGGCCACGTGGAGCGCCGTGTACTGGCCGTCCCAGTCCAGCCGCCGCGCCCAGATCTTCCTCATGGCCATGGTGAGTGGGTCCTTCCTCTGCACAGACTCCACAGCCACCCCCACGGCCCAGCTGTCCCCATCCCCTACCTCCAGCTCCCAGTAATGCCTCCCGGCTGTGAACCCCTGGGAGCCCAGGACGCTGGGGCTGCCTGTGAATCTCTTTGGGGTGTTGGGGAGGTTTTGGTGTCCGTCTCCCAGCCGCACGGTTTTGCAGTCCTTCGAGAGGATCAGGTAGGGGCTTGCTGTCTCTGGGTCCAGAGTCACCTTCACTAAGGCACGAGACAGAGAGAAACGTCACTCCGCTGCCCACCGAGGAGTGACCCAGCACCTCTCCCTCCTCTTCCGCGGGGCTGGGACACGTCCTGTGAGCACAGCGGGCACTCGTGCCCCGCGAGCGCACACCCGCAGCCCCCTCGGGCAGCACGGGGCACGGGGAGCTCGCTGCCCTCCCCGCCAGGACCCACGGGTGAAGGGATGCTCCCTGAAGGAGCACTGAGCCAGGCAGCGATGGACTTGGCTAAACCTGCTCTGCTCATCCTGGGGTATTGCTGGGTCTCAGCGTGACGGGGCTGCAGCCAGGCTGGGTGTGGGGGAGCCATATATCCCCGTGGGGGTGAGGGAACATCACCTGCAAGGCAGCAGTGGTGCCACGCCAGTCCCTGCTCCCGTGACAAGGGGGACAAATGCTTCCCAGAGGGTAAACCAGCTCCTAACCCCGCTCTGCCGACTGCCCAGGCCATCTCTCTGCAGAGCCAGAGCCACCCGTTCATGTGGGATGTTCTGCTGCCATCCCGTGGCCGTCCCACAAGGCCACAGGCGTGTCACCCCGCAGTGCCACCCACCCCAGGCCCGCTGCTAAACCCACTCCTTTGCAGCCCCGGCGCACGGCGGGGACCGCAGCGTGGAGGAAACTGAGGCACGCCTGTCCTGTGCGGGTCCCTCACCCCGAAAACTGAGAGGGACAACGGCACTAGGCAGACCCAAGCCCTGCGACGCTGCCAGGACCCCGAGCACCAGCAAAAGCATTTCTGACCTGTGCCCAAAAGCCAGCCCAAAACGCTTACGGCCGCTCTGCTCAGCCAGTCACAGCCTCACGCGTCGTGGCGTGAGAAAAAAGTCCGCAGAGACAGGGAAGCCGGGGGCCTTGGGGTGCCCTGGCCCTCGTTTGGCGTTAGAGGACAGCGTGGCCGGGCACTGCCTGGCATGGGGACAGCCCTGGATTTTTACAGCGGGCCTAGTCAGAAGGAAGGGACCGGGGTTTAGACGGACCCTGGATTTAGATGCTGCGGTGTGAGCCCATCTCTGCCCCAAGGACGTAAAGAAAGTCACTCTGGAAGGCTTTTCTCCCTCGTTTGTGCCCAACAGCTCCAGAAACTTACCCCTTTCTCTGTCCATCTTGCTCAGCAGGTTCGCTAGAGGAAGGAAAGGAAGGCGCATGAGTCTCTCGCCTCTTGTGGCATCTTTCCCGCCCCGCACCAGGACAGCAAGCCAGGCGTGGAGCTCGCTCCCCAGCTCCCACAGCCCCAGGCTCCAGCAAATCCCACCTCGGAGACAGGTCCCGTCGGGAGCGGGCGTGTTTTGCTCTCAAACCCCCGGGCAGAGGCACCAGGCAGTGAGGGTCTCCCGCTGCAGCTGAGCCCAGGGGGAGCAGAGCACGGAGACAGCAGTGCCTGGTGCTCCGGGGCAGCAGCACGCCCGCCTGGGGCCTGGCTGCACAGCGAGGCATCGCTCACCGCTTCTCCGCTTTACCTTTGAATTCGGCCACCACACCCACGACCAGCTGGCTCGTCTCAGAGAGGCTCTCCACGGTCCTCTGCAGCTCCAGGGAAACCGGCTCTGGGATCGGGGCCTTCACCGCCTCGCAGCTGCAGGGGGAAACAAGACGGAGAGGAGCTGTGACCCCAGCAGCCAGCTTGCACCCAGGGCCAGGAGGGAAACGGGGCGGGGGAGAAAATCCCCTAGAGAGACAGAACTCAGGGGAGCTGTGTCCCAGCTGTTGGCACGGGAACCCCGCCTTTAACAGGGGTGCAAGGACCTCTGGTTCCAGAGAACACCCAATTCAATCCCAAATGCTCAGCAGGGCAAAGCCACCTCCCTCCCAGCTGCCGCTGCTCGGCGCCTGCAGCGCTCCCAGACCTCTGCCCCAAAGAGCCGGCGGGGGGAGAGCGACGCTGAGCCCCTGTCGTACCTGCTCAGGGTTTTGCCGACATCCTGGAAGAGAGAAAACACCAGGTCAGCTCTGGCACCGCCGAGAAGGGCCACGGTCCCCGGGGCAGTGAGTTACGGTCGCTCCCGTCTGCCTGAAGCAGGGCGATGGGGACTGGGGAGGGGGGGGTCTCTCCTGGAGACTCTCCAGTGACTCGCTCGCCCACCTCCTCGCCTTCCCTCAGCTCACGCTGCAGGCCCAGCCTCACACCAGCCACGCCACGCGCCGCGCTCTCACAGCCCGGTCACTGGCCCACCGGCTGGCACCGGGCCGCCCTTCGCT